CCCAACACGACCACGCCGGCCAGCCCATGTTTAAAATTTTGGCCTAAAAACCTTAGAGAAGCGTGCCACCTAGAGCCAAATTTACTGGCTCTTCTTGGACTTGTAAAAGGCTAGGGGATTAACCCCCATTTGGCATGTCCTAAATGCCCTTTACTGGTCATTTTTGGCTTAATTAAAAGGCAATTTTGAGATTTGCTTGAAGGAAGTTGGTTTAACCTCATCTGTCTATTTCATTCTCCTCTATCAAAACTCACTCTCCACCTTTCTCAGATTTGGGTAGTGGTTTTGAGTGCTTGAAATGGCAAGGGAGAGCTTAATTTTCTTCCCTAAGGGGTTTAAGGTTTTCCTTGGAGCTTAGAGCAAAGAATTCAAGATATGAAACATAATTCATCTTCTTCTTCAAGTAGAAGGCCAAGAAATGGGTTTCCTTCCAACTTCTCCTACATCCTCTTCTTCCTTATTTCTCCGGTGAACTTTCTGGCAGGTTGAACTAGGAAAGATTCATCCTAGCTTGGGGGAAGGGCTACTCCGACTGCATTTTGCGGTTTCTCCGACCAGAAGAGCGTCTACATTGGAGAAGCACAACTCCGGTGAACATTTCCGGCGATCTCTCCGAATAAGAAAGTTTTCTCATTAATTTGAGGAAGGACTTAGGTGAGCTTCTCTCCTACTGTTAGGAGAACTTCATTTGGGACACAAGCTTGGGACATCGATCAACTACCGCAACCGTGGGATTCACTAAAGCCCTTTGCATTTTCTTTCTCAACCAACTCTAGGATGCTTGTACATAATGCTAGGTTTATGTTTTTGATTTTCTAGAGAAAACCCTAGGTTAGGAAGCACATACTCTTAGCTGAATAATCAATAATAAATTGTTTTTTTCTTATCATTATGTCTTCGACCAAGCAAAGGGTAAGAATGCGAAAGTCCATGAGCATAGTGCATTGAGAGAGTTTCAATAGTTTCTAAATGAAATGATTGCATATGATTTGATGGGAGAAATTATCCTTGAATAATCATTTCAACTTGAGCCTTGTTTTGACATTGTTGTGATCCTCGTCATGACGAGCATGAATCATATAATTCTACCAAGCAATCACACACCTTTTTAATTTATGGAAAACAAAACTAATTTGCTTCTCTTCTGAAGTATCCATATGGTTAATAAGATTTTCCAATTGCTACTCTCAATTGAGATATCCTTGATGTCGATTTTTTATCGAAACACGAAAATTGAAGATCTGAGTTATTTTCAAATTTCCCTTGGCTAAATCAATGCTGATTCAAAATAGATGAATGTTGTGAGCAATCGAGAGATAAGCACAATGCACCCCAACATTTCAAGGAAGCTTTGCTCGGGTTGGTTGGCCTAGTCGAGGGAACAGTACAAATTTTTATTTGCTACAACGATGACATCAATGTCTGCTATGTGTGCTAGCATGGTTGTTGGATAGAGGGCATCACTATTTCTAAAATGATGGATCTCCCATCCCACACAACCAGAATAAATGATAAAAGACCCACATATAAGGCATTTGATGTATTCATGCCAGTGGTGTAGGAGTTCCGAAAAATATTGTGAGCTTTTATAATCATTACAAACTAGGTTATTGGCTTTTCTCTTCATTGTCATTGGCTCTGATACCATTTGATGCAGAGCCCAATTCATCAATACAGGTAGAGAAGATAAAAGAAAGAACAATGCAATTCTTTTTTAATAAAAGCTTTAGAATTATAACAAAATGTTTGCCAATCTAACTTGTGTAATACTTATATTTCCACTACAAAGTACAAAGAATAAAAATAATAAAATAACATGACTAGATAAGAAAAAGCAAACAAAGCTAAAATGTAATAATGCCATTATTAAAGTCAATTAATAAATTCTATATGCTTGATGTAAACTTAATGGAATCAACTACATCACTATTTATTGGGAAAACATGCATGCAAGGAGCTCATTTCAAATGATTTGTTTATTTTTTTCAATGTTATATTATTGTATGAACCATCCAAATTTCCACCTACATCTCAATCTAATGCCATGAACACGGAAGAATGTAGTTATTACTATATACCATTTGATCATCTGGTTTTTGCATGTGCAAGAACAAGCTGCTACACAAAGCAATGCCCCAAGGTCATTATTGTTGGTGTTGATCGCCCATATGCGTGCCCTCGTTATCATTAGAACCATTGCTAGTCGCACATCTCACTATTTCATATGCTTGATTAACAAAACCAATGTGGGCATCTGATGTATTTTGATCTACTCACATTTGCCAATAAAAAAATAACATAGTAACTTATTATTTATATTTTTTTAAAATATAAAATTTCGTACTTATTTACTGATTATGAAATTGTATATACCGTTTTACATCTTCAACATATATAAATTTAGTAACAAAATTTTTATAAAGAGATAAAATTTAATAATCAAGTCTTTATTATTAACTATACATAATTATGAAATACATTTCAATCATTTATAGGTTAAGTAACAAATTTATTGGTCCTTTTACAAAGTACACAAATAATATAATTTTTTTTAAATCCATGAAATTCTTAGTGATAAATATTAATTAAGATGTTAACGATAAAACCTTTCAATAAATTAAATTTAAATCGACATTTAAATTTCTAACAACTTATTAAAACTTGAAAAATTAGAGATTAGTGAAGAAATATTTATTAAAAAAAAAAAAAACGGAACCTTAAAACGTTCCTCGGTTTCCCTCCCAAACCACAAATTTTTATTATTAAAACGCACACCTTTGGGAGTGTGTGGACTGCACTCGTAATTTGATTCAGCATTTCCCGTTCATCTTCCCCAGCCCTAAAAAGCTTGAAGAAGAAGAAGAAGAAGGGCAGCATCACAACGTTCAGCCGAGGCTACCATGGGAACTTGGCCGGCTGCGACGGCTGAGTCCTTTGGAGCGGAGCCGCATAGGAAGCCACGCCTTTTCATCACGCAAATGGTTCTCCGCAACTTCAAGTCATACGCTGGAGAGCAGCGGATCGGACCCTTTGACAAGGTTTGTCTGTTTCCTCCAAACCCTAGACTTCATCCCGCACTTCGTTCCACCCAAAAAAATGCCCCTGGAATCAGGCGTTTACTGAAAATATCTATCAGGTTTGCTTTTTTCGTTAAAATCTTGACCGCGTAATGAAGCCTACTGACTGTAATTTTCTCCATCTTCCCCCCGCTCGATGTCTCACTTGCTACTTGATTCCCTCTCACCACAATTGGTCTGATTGAGTTAGGGATGATGGGTGAATGTTTTGTGTAACAGGCAAATTTCAAAATTTTCCGTCTGATGGGGTAAAAATCTTATTTTAGTTTAACGGTTCCTTTTTGAATGGTGCGTGTATGCTTTCTGTAAACCATTGGATTCTTTTTTCTCTATTTTCTGTTAATGTAGCAAGCTTCATCATCAAAATTGGTGCTGTGCAACTTGCTGCACCGTTTAGTGATATCGAGTGATTTGCCATGCAGTGACATGTACATTTCAGGAGCGCAAATGTTACATTCTTGTGCTGGACTTCTTGTTTGTTTAAATAAATGAACAATTTCTTCTTCTTCTTCTTTCTTTTTTTTAATATTCTGGACAGAGCTTTTCAGCAGTGGTCGGGCCTAATGGTAGCGGGAAGAGTAATGTCATTGATGCTATGCTCTTTGTGTTTGGCAAGCGGGCAAAGCAGGTAAAATTTTTATTCCCAGTCAACAATTCCAAGATCATGATCTGTTTAGTAATTTTAGTTCCATGGAACGAAAGTATGTCATCCAGCTACAGATTAAGTGGTCTTCAGCGGATTTTGGTGAATACTTAATATTCAAATTCCATGTTTAATGTTTTAAGTTACATAGCTACCACCTAAAACATATCTATTTGCATACCAAACACCTCCAATCACGATGCTTGTTCATTTGCATGCTGTTTTTCCTTGTATAATCGCTGACTTCCTGTTACATTTTTTATTTATATCTAGATGCGCCTGAACAAAGTATCAGAATTGATACATAATTCAAGCAACCACCAGAACCTTGAGAGTGCTGGGGTTTCAGTTTATTTTCAAGAAATTATAGACCTGGTAATGCTGTAATGGTTTTAGTGATTGTTTAATATTTCATGATTCTTATATGTAATGTCATTCAGGATGATGGATCTTTTGAAGTTGTTGAAGGCAGCAACTTTTTCATTAGCAGAGTGGCATTTCGGGACAACTCATCCAAGTACTACATTAATGACCGTGGGAGTAATTTCACTGAGGTTACAAAGAAGTTGAAAGAAAAAGGAGTAGACCTTGATAATAACCGTTTTTTAATTCTTCAGGTATGCCTAAAGTTTACTAAAATTGTCTTTGGTTTTTTCACACATTACCTGGGACTTGACATCCATACTTGCAAAATTTTTCTAGGAAGATTCACATACATATCACTTAATTCCTATGTTTTCACATATCTAACATCTGAACTTCAATTTTACATCGTACCATCTTACCTTTGCATGAAAATGTTTAGTTCACTTTTTAAAAGTGAAAAAGGGTGGTAATTTTGATCTGATGTTAAAGATTTGGTTGGTATAAATAGGAATTAGGTGGCAATTATGTAATTGCCTTTTTTTTAAATGTTGAAAATTCTAAAACTTTAATAAAGTTAGCTTTTTGGTATCCAGGTTGACACTTTAAGTAATTTATTTATAGCATTAATCACAGTTTTTGCTTCATTCCTTGCATCTCTATTGGATTGTCTGCCTGCTTGTTATGTAGGGCGAGGTTGAGCAAATCTCTCTGATGAAGCCAAAGGCACAAGGACTACATGATGAGGGGTTCTTGGAATATCTAGAAGACATCATTGGGACAAATAAATATGTGGAAAAGATTGAATCAGCACATAATGAGTGAGTTGAACTTTAATTTTCTTAATTTGTCTATCTCAACATTGTTCACAAAATATTTGTAGTTACTATTCTCTGTGCCCATATGTGGTGCTTCTGAGATAAAGTTGTTCTTAAATTTTTATTTAACTAATCGTTGCATGCTTCAATACTTTTGTAGGTAGACCACTGAGCATCTGTAGTACCAAAAGAGATGCAAATCGTATTCTAAATACTGAGAATATATTCTTATATGCATCTTGTTGTATTCGGTAAAAATGTTTTGTATAAGGTCACTATAGGCTAAAAAGTTTGAATTGCTAGCCATTGCATCTGGATTAAAAAAACATGGAAATATTTTCTACATTTCTTTTTCCTTGCACTGTAACATGCATTCACAAGTAGAAAAATAATCTAAAATCACAACTAGATAAAGATACGACTATTGCGTGTACTGATAAGGAATGACATTACCTTTTAAAATAAACAAATAACTTTTGAATATTTGAGATAACGGCTTCCTCTTTTATCTCAATTTCTAATGTCTTTTTATCAACTTACAAGCCATACTTGTAAGTATGCTCATATAAATATGAATAAATATGAGAAAATACTATTGTTTATGTTTGATTGATGGTCATACACACTGCCTCTTGCTCTGTTCATGCCTTACCCTTTCTATTCTTGCTTTTATCTACAAACATGGTTATATTTTTATCATGTCCAACCCCATCCATATCTCTTTTATCTTAAGGCTTGCTGGTTCATATTATTATATTACTTTGTATCAAGAATCACTCTATGACTACGTAATTCACAGTTTTTCATTTGTAAATCCTCACCATAAATGTAAGTTAAAAACGCTGAATTTATTGATTGTGCTTGTAATAGAAGAATGATTATATCAAATTGAGGATAGTACAAACGAGTTAATTTTAAACTCTCATCTGATTTTTGCATTATGTTAATTATTAAATGTTGCTTTGAATAGTTAGGATAATCCCAATGATGATGATAAAGATGATTCAATAATTACTAAACAAAGTTCTTGAGGGAAAAATGTTCAAATCAGTTTGTTTGATTTAATAGGTTGAAAATAGTGCATTTTACTTCTTTAGAATCCTATCTTGAATGTTTGAGCCGAGCATTGTACCATTAGAGATTTCTCTTAGAGAGGAGTCAATATGGGCTTTACAGAAGCCATTCCATGAAAGAAACTCCATAGGCTTTGCTCTTGAAAGCAATTAATGATGTTTTTTCGTCAAGAACGAAAATAATGTCCATAGCTGTACACTTGTAATACACACATGGTGATATGTAAACTTTTAGAGAAGATAGTTTTTTTTTTTCTCTTCTAATATATCTATCTTATTCTTGTGTTATTGTTGTTATCGGTGTTTATAGAACTCATTTTATTGTTTATTTGGCATGTTGAGATTTTTTTCTTGGAGGTTAAAGGAGCTTAAGTTAACTGCGAAAAGTTTTAAATGCCATGACTTGATTTGAGAATTTAGAAGTTCTAAAAGTGGGAACATACAATTAGACTGTAGGATAATTCCTTTTCATTAATACTATAAATTTTCTGCCAATAATAGCTACGAGCACATAGAGTTACAAAACAATACAATTTTTTTTGTGTCTAAATTGTACAACTCTTCAACCCTGTACACAACATTACTAAAATAATATACGCAATAACAACAACAACAACAACAACAACAACAACAACAAAGCCTTAATCCCACTACGTGGGGTCGGCTGCATCAATCCTTTTTCTCCAATGCGTCCTATTTAGTGTCACAATACACAAAAATACACAAAGTTTTTAATTTTAAATTATTTAAGTCATTTTTTTTCATAAATTTTATCTTTTGTCGCTCATTTAACCTAAGGGTCCTTTTTGGAAAGTGGATATCAACTAATGGGAAAATCATTAAACAAATTAACGGTTAATTATAGCTCGATGTTATTATCAAGTTCAAGAATATAAATAGTATTCACCCTAGTTTTCAAAATTATATATTTACATCAAATTTTAACAATTGTTTATTGCATGCACATTTGTAACTTATTCAAGAAGAGGAAATAGCATCAATCATTTAATAACTTGTTATTTTGAAATAAATTTACTATATAATAATTTATCTTTATTTTTGATAATATGTTCTTGAAATAGGAGCATTATTTAAATTTGTATCATTTAAGGAACATCCATTTTAATTTTTCTTTCCAAATTTTTTTTAAACTTTAGATTAGGTGATAATTTAACGTGCGTGATGCATAGTTAGGGGTCTTTTGGTACGATACTTTTAACATGATTTAAATCAAATTTAATGTAAATCCAACCAAACACCATAAATATGTTAGATAAATCTGATGTTAAGTTAAATTCAATTTTTGCTTGTTTCGTTTATTAAATTTGGATTTATTAAATCCACTTATTTGTTGGATTTATTAAATCCACTTTTCAGTTGGATTTATTTTATTTATTTCAAATAGATTTATGACAAACACATTAAACATATTCAACGGGATTTATCCTTAATTGAACCAAAAATATTATTGTGGATTTAATAATATTTATATTTGATAAATTCGGATTTACTAAATTCTATTTAACGTAAATCCTACCTGTAGCTAAACACTCTCTTAGTATGATAAGTAGGGTGAACTCTATCATTTATCATAAATACACATTTTATTATCATTTCATTTAACTTTCAGTTTTCTTTTTATAAATATAATTCTGATGATGGCAATGCACAAAGTTAAATAAAATACTATTTATCTAACATTTGCAACATTATGAAGACAATTATATAAGAGCATGAGAATATTTTTTAATTATTTTCTAATGACAATTTATATGGGTACATAAAAGAATATTTTAGTCAACGTGTCAAATTTGTCTAATGTCTGTAATCATATATCTTGTAACATAAGATAGAAATGTAATTATCCATCTTAACTTCAAATATTTTGTGTTGTCTGTTAGTCTTTAAATTTTACTTCCTTTTATCTTGAAATTACTTTTATATTATCTCCTTCAATGTAGATTAAACCATCATCTTATTCAACAAAATGAAACTCTTATTAGCTAGAGAGGCTACTGATAATTTTAATCTTTTCATATCATTAATCAATTTTTCTTATTGAGTAAGCAACTTGTTTTTACTATTTATGTTTTTTTTCTTAAAGTATCAATAATAACCATTACCTTTTATGTATTATGTTCATCTATATTGTAATTGTTAGATCCATAAAATTGACAGTCAACATGAGGGACAAAATTGGGCATTAACCGGTGAAAATTTGAAACTAACTGTTGGTGACCCTAATATGAAAAAAGTAGTTAAAGAACTCACTATTTATTACATGGGCCATCAACTCTATGGAACTCGTAATTGGGAAACCTCACCTATTTCTTTCCATCACCCAAGATGTCTGGAAGGCCGTTCAATATCTTTATTCAGATATGGAGAATTCTTCTCAAAATTTTTAGTTGAATACTCAACTCTGAAAATTCAAGCAGAATGATTGTAATGTTACTATATTTTATAATGAGTTGCTAACATTATGATAGAAGCTTGATCAATGTATGATGATATTTGAGAGAATTTGAATGACTGCACTCGCTATAAGAAGAGGGAGGAAAACAACTGAATTTACATTTTTTTAGCCGATCTTAACCGGAGAGTAGGCGAAGTCTGAGATCACATGCTTGGTAGGAAGTCACTCCCTTCTACTCGGGAAGTTTTTTCTAAGATTAGATTTGAGAAGTTGAGAAGGAAAATTTTGCTGTGCAACACCAAACCTTTTATGTTAATCCTCAATTTGAAAACTCAACTCTTATTTCAGAAGATGTTGATATTGACAATGAAGTGTGTAAAAAGTATTGGTGCGAGCATTGCAAAAAATCGCGACATATGAAAGAAATGTGTTAGAAGCTTCATGGTACACCCATGAATTGGAAAGCAAATTATGAGTGTGGCTTATGAAGTCACTGTTGAAGAGATCCATGATCTCTCTGCAAACTCGGATGCAATCCTTTTTTTTCCAATGAGTAATTAGAGCATCTATACTATTTTTTTGAGTCTCCAAAATCGTTTTTGACTTCGTCTTATTTTTTAATACAGAAGGGTAACTCTTTAGCCAATGTGTAGTTAGGTGTTATACATAATTCTATTTATTTTCAAATTATTTATTTTAGCACAATTGATCATATGATTGGTTGCTTTAAATTGTTTTCATCTTATAGATCAGATGCAGACAAGAAAAATGTCAAAATTGCATATGGTTTTCTCTCACTAATTGTAAGGATAGGAAATATCAGACTCATCGCGATGTTAAATCTTCACTATGTTCTCCATGTTTACAGTTTGTCTTGTAACTTATTGTACATTAGTAAACTTACCTTTGACCATTAGCGTCAAGCTAATTTTTACCTTTCTTATTTTGAATATCAAGAAGTAACCACTGGGAGAAAAATTAGCAATGCTAAGACAAAAGATGGACTCTATTATTTTGACGACGAACTTGACTCGAGTAGATATTGTTTTAGTATTTGTTTAAATTCTGTTTAAGTTATCAAAGATAATGATATTACGACAGAACATTATAGGTCAGACAATTCTATTTTTCAGTATTTAAAATATTTATTTCTTAATTTATTTTGAAATACAAATCTATCTTTTTTCAATGTGAATCTTATCAATTTGCAGAATGTCATTGTGGGTCTTTTTTTCCTCATCTTACAAAACAATTGCATCATTTATTTTGATTCTTTATGATGAATGAGACAATTGTGGAACTTTTATATATTTTGGTAAAAAATAATTTTTTGATGATCACTCAAAATTAAGTTGGGTTTTGTTCAAATAAATAACAATCTAATGCGAACAAAAATTTTAAATTTTTTTTAGTCCAAGATAGAAACACAATTTCTAAAAAAAATAAATATTATGGAATGATAATGATTGAGAATATTTCAAAAATATTTTGTCACTTTTTTCTTAATAAAGAACTATTTCATCAAAGCTTTTGTGTTGATACTCTGCAACAAAATGATTTGGTTGAAAAAAAAACGAACATTTGTTGGAAGTAGCTCGAACATTGCTTTTTATTAATTAAATACCAAAATATCTCTATGGTTAATTTGTTTTTATCGCGAAATTTTATGATTTTAAATTTTGAATCATATTTTCATATTTTTTGTGAGATTTACCCAACAAATGAGTTCTCTTCTTCTTTACCATTAAATATATTTGGGTGTGTTGTATTTGTTCATTTCATAGTTAATCAAGGAAAATTTGAACCCTGAGTCAAAAATTATGTTTGCTGGTTATTCTCACACTCAAAGTGGTATAACAATGTTGATCCCATTTCTAAAAAAATATTTGTTATCATGGATGTCATTTATTTCAATTACACACTTTTTTCATGCCTCATCTTCAAGGGGGAATAAAATAAAGATCTAACTACTATTTTTTAGGATTGTTTTCAAATCAAAGTTTCACAAAATAATGCCTCTAACCTTGGTTATTAAACCGTAAAATTCAAGCTACATTATATTAAGAGAAAGTGGGTCGAGTTTTTTAGATGTTGAAAACGATTCAGGTTTTTCTTTTGTGCCATCTCATGATGTTCATGATTCTATATAGACTAATAAGGAAGAAAAAGGAAAATTAATCACGTTATTTGTTTCCTTTGAAATTTTACACTCACACCATAGGACAATTCGAAAGAAAATGTATAATTTTTTTGCACTACCGAGAATCCGTGAACCCTTTAGGTAATTTCTTCACCGAGCCTTTACTGATGTTCAATTTACTTCATCTGCGAGTTCCGAGCCTTCTATTCTTATTGCTGCTTGTAATTGTGTGAGGTCTTGTAATCAACATCTATTGTACCATTATGTATCATATGAAAATCTCTCACCTATTTTTCGTGCTTTTATTTTACAATGGTCTTATATAATTTCTAATACTGTAGAAGAAGTTCTAAAAGTTTCTCAGTAAAAGTAGACTATTTTCTAGATGAAAGCTCTTGAAAAAAATTGTATATGCGAGTTGGTTGATCTACCTAGGGGAAGATAATTGTATGGTGCAAATGGATGTTTACAATGAAATATAGGAATGATGAATCTTTAAAATGGTACATGACTCGATTGGTTGTCAATAGATTCATTCAGACATATGACATCAAATACTTGGAGATATTCACCCAACAGTAAAATTAAACTCTATAAGAGTTCTTTGTTCGCGCGTAAATAATCTTGATTGACCTCTACAACAGTTAAATATAAAAAATACAGTTCTCATTTGAGACACGGAGGAAGAAGTGTTTATGGTTGCATCTTTAAGATTGTGTGAAAGTTCAACATACAGGTGTGAACTAAAGTAGTCCTTATATTAACACAATCTCCGAGGGCGTGGTTTGAAAAATTTGCCATGTTTTTAAAACTCAGGGGTATACTTAAGGGCAAAGAGGTCGTATAATATTTTTTTTTTAGACATTAAAATGACAAGAAGACATTCATGCTAATTGTGTATGCGGATTATATAATTCTCTTTGGTGATGATGTATATGAAATGAACCGTTTGAGGACTTCTCTCTTATCAACTTTTGAGATCAAGGACTTAGGATATCTAAGGTATTTTATTGTCACGGAAGTTGCGCGATCGAAGAAAATGATTATTTTTTTTTCCAATGGAGGCATGTTCTTGATATCTCAGGAAAATTGGAATGAGTGGTTGTAGGTGTGCATAAACTCCCTGATCCCAATGAAAACTATGAGATGGAAAGAAAGTTGATCCAGTGTATATGATTTGGTATCAAAATTTGGTGGGAATGTTGATATAGTTATCACATACACAACTAAATATTGCATTTGCTGTTAGTTTTGTAAGCTAGATTATGCACTCGCTCTATGAAAAACATCTTGATGTAGTTATTAGGAGTCTCAGATACCTAAAAAAAACACCCAATAAGGGCTTACTCTTTTAGATGAACACATGATGTATCATAAATGTATACACTGATGTAGTTGGGCCTCAATTATTGATAGGAGATCGACATCCGATTACTATATTTATATGGGGAAATCTGGTTATATGATTAAGAAACGAAGTGTTGTTGTAAGGAGCAGTATCCGGGAAGAATATAGGGTTATGACTAATGGAGTATGTGAGATGCTATGGTTGAATAGAATTTCTGAAGAGCTACGGATCTTGATAAATATGCTAATGAAGTTGTACTATGACAATAAAACCGTAATAAGCATCACACAAAAATCCAATACAACATGATCATACAAAGTTTGTGGAGATTGACACACACTACATAAAAGAGAAGATTGATTGTGGAGCTGTTTGCATGCTTTTTATTCCTAATTTACAACAAATAGCATATATTTTTACCAAATGACTTTTTAGTCATAGTTTTGAGCTTCTTGTGAACAAGTTGGGCATGATAAATATCTATGCTCTAACTTGAGGGGGTTGTCATATTTTTAGGAGGGAGTTTATAATCTTTTATTTTTGGTAGTTTCTTGCATGAGGATTTTCTAATTTTTGTGACTTTCCCAATTTGGTGACCTTCCTATGCTATTTATTTTGTAAATGAGTCTTATGAAATTCCGGAAGGATCATTGTTGTTTTCTAATAAAATCCTTGATTAATTTTTAATGAGCTTTAGTTGTAGTCTATCTTAAATTTAATTTATTTTTGATTAAAGATATACTTTAAATTTTGGTGATTAATAAAGACTTCATCATAGTTTGAAATTGAGTAATATGAAGCTCGCTTAAATTTTTTTTTTGAAAAATTTGCAATGAGTTATATGGCTTTTGCCTCAGATAATGTGTGGCCCGCTTTGCCTCGTCTCAATTTTGGTGAGACATATACATTTAAACTTAGATTTAAATTTTTCTTAAAGTAAATATAAATATAATATAACCCTAATAAATATTATTTACTTATTCATGTAATATACAACTGAGAGTATAATTTAAGTTTTTATTTTAAACTTATTCATTATTTTAAAATTTAATAAATATTTTTATTAATTATCATTTGTTAAAAGAGAGGAATATGATTGAGATTTAAGATGACGGGGATTGAGAAGATATGAATATAATTAAGGATGAAAAATGAAGGAGAATATAATTCATTATGTTGATGATTTTACTGAAGATATATTAAATGATAAAAGTGATAGTGATTTTTTAATTTAAAAATTCTAATTTTAGTGACTTGTTATATTTTTTACTTTGATGGATGATAACATGTGTATGAAGAGGCTAATTGTATCGAATTTATTTTGAATTGTTATATTATTATGTCATTCTTTGATCTTTGTATAATCATTCTTATTTTATAATTTGATGTTTGGATGATAATATGTTATAATTACTTTGAATAATTTATTATTTTTATCATATGAGGATATTAATAGGGTATGTTTTAATCTTTCATTTGTTAAAATGTTAATATGTTATTTTTTATCATATTCTTTAAACTTTTTGTACAATACCTCTTCATTTGCACAACTTACTGATTTTATGGCTCACCTTTTTAAACTTCTTGAGGCATAAGTTTCTCCAAACGGAAAAAAAATATTTTAATACCCAATTTCACATTTTAAACTTTTGATTTCACATCTGACTCCATATGGATGTTTTCATATTTTTAGTGAAAATACATTGCTATTAACTCTATATTTTTGATTGCGTATTTGGTCAATTGATAAAAGTGATGACCTTCATTTGTATTTTTTTTATTGCGTATTTGGTCAATTTATTGTGAAGTTTCCTATGTGAAGTTTCCTATGTAAAGTTACACTATGGCAGGCTAGAGTCCCTCAACGACAAGCGTTCTACAGCAGTGCAGATTGTAAAGCTTGCTGAGAAAGAGAAATACAGCTTAGAGGTGTATATATCCTTTTGTTTTATGCTAATCTACTTGTTAAGGGACCTATTTTCATTAAAAAAAAAAGTACTTGTTAAGGAACTTGTTATTGAGTGCTTATTTTTTCTTTAGAGCATAAAAAACGAAGCTGAAGCCTACATGTTGAAGGAACTGACACTTTTGAAGTATAAGGAGAATGCGACTAAGCTGGCTTTTGAGGACGCCAATGCCCATGTCGCTGAGTTGAAGCAGAATGTCACATTATTGGAGGAAAATCGTACATCCGAAAGGTTCTCATTAATGAAGTGCTTATTTTCTATATTGTCTTAATTAAATTAAATGCTAAGAGTTATATTTCAGAGAGAAGATTCAACATGACTTGGAAATGCTGAAGGAACTAGAGGGTGTTTACAACAAACATCTGAAAACACAGGAGGTAATATTATATCAGTCCTTTTATCGTGAGCACTTCTTTTATTTGAAACCATTCAGAATCAATATTGTTTATGTTATGCGAGGTTCATAAACAAAGAAAATATCAGCATATATCAATGCTGTGTTTTGCAAGCATAAACTCTTGTTAAAATTTTCTTATGCTCTTCTATTTTATATTCAACATTTCTTACAAATTTGGGCATATTCTTAATTTTTTGTCGGGGCATATCAATCAGCGGGTAAATAGTTATGCTGGAATTCCAATGTACTTCATGTTAATGAACTGATTTTTAAGGAGTTAAAACAACCTGAACATGAATTTATTCGCTTCTTAACTATAGAGTCATAGACATACAACCTCAAGTTTGTTAACTGGTTGAAAAATTATGCTCGTGTTGATGCGTAGTTAAAGTGATTGCGACATTGTGCAATAAATGTTCTTGTTAATGCATGAACAGGAGGGGGAGCTTTAATCATGTTAAAGAGAGAAATTTAAGTTGAGAGAGCAATTATTAGAAAAAGAAAGCTGGATTTTTGGCTTGTATTTTTTCTTAGGGATGAGAGAGATGGTGCGTAGAATGGTTTAGGTAGGATTCTTTTTTGCTTAAGGGAGAAAAAATGTGGTTAGGAGACAATGAGTAGGGCAATTTGGTGGCTAATTTGCTGTATCGGGTGATTTGATGAGAGGAAGTACTTGGTTTGGCTTGATATGAGGGAGTGGGAGAGTTTATGGAGTAGGGAGAGAAAATAAGCAAGAGAGCAGGAGACAAAAGTTTTCTTATTTAGAAAATTGATGAGGAATAGTTGACAAAGCATCAAACTATAGAAAGTGCCCTAGAAATTTCTTAATCTTTGATTGAGTGAAAATACTAAGGCATAATATACGAGCCTTTCTTTTTATTGGCAAGTCATGATTATCTAAAAGTTTGAAATTAAAAAATATCTTGAAGAATTTAAAATAAAAATACTACAATAACCGATAAATCCATCCTAAATGAAATAAACTATTATAATTAATTGAAATTAGCTGAAAATGTTATCAATTGTGTTCTACTTGACCAAAAAATTATGTAGGAAATGATATTGGAAGGTTAAGAAACTCTACTAAACCAGTGGTAACTTATCAAGCTATCTTGATGATGTTGTAGAAATTAATAAATGGGCTCTTCCACATGCATGGCTTATTTTTCTGAAAACAATTTGAACTTGAATAACAAGTGAATTTTATGGCTAGGTAATCCTTGGAAATTTTTTTTATTATTGTCTTTGATTGTAGCCGACTCCATTTAGTCTTTTTGTTCTTTGCCGATCTCAATAGGAAATAATGGATAAAAAGGATTCATGTAGCTGACCCGCTTTGTGAGATAAAGGTTTGTTGTTTTTTTTTATTGTACTGTCTTTGATTGTATGAAGAAAAATTGCAGTCTTTCATAATGCAACACATTTTTGTGATCATATAACATAAAACATATATTGGTCTATTTTTAGCGCGCATGGTGATTCTATATAGTAAGATGGATGAGAAAGATAAAAAATCATATATATAGACATATATATAAACGAGACATTTTAGCTGTGTGGGCGAGGCGTAAGATCCAAAGTGTCAACATAAGCCCCATGACATAAAAGAAATATAAGGCGTAATTATTAAGAGATAATAACAAGAAATTATACTCGTTCAATTTCAAAACAAGTATTTTATGACTAAAATCCTCAAGATGTTGATGTAAATCCAACAAAAAAATATACAAATATATAAAAATAAATAAACATTTTTTGATCCAAAAAATAAACTGGTTGTGCTCAATTGATATCAATTCTTCAATATTATTCATTTTTGGAATTCATCCGCAAAATCTTCTTCTTTACCAATAGTTGTGTCCAAATCACAACTATGTCCTTAATGTTGTCTACATTCATTGTAGCTATAGTGAAATCTGCACGTTAATTCATGCTTATGTTTCTATTTTTGTGAAATTGTAGGCCTCGCAGGAGATAGGTTTGGGAAACAACGCGATTAAGCTATTTATTTTTATTTATGAATAGCCGCAAGTGGGGCGTACACCCCCGTGGGGTGCAAAATAGTTTTTTGGGCAAAAAACGCTTGCACGAGTGTACGCCCCATGAGAATTACGTCGCCCTCATTAGGCTGGGGTGTAATGCCCCACGCTTCGCCCAGAGGCACACCCCAATAACATCTTTTAAAACACACACATTCTCAGACACACAAACGCACACACCCCTCATATGTAATGCTTTGAACTCAGGACCTCTTTGAAAGATAAATCTCTCAACCACTAGGTCAAGGTGGTTTGCATATATATATATATATATATATGATTAAAAAAGCAGCTCGTGGCTCCTTACGCGTTAATAAAATAAAAGTGGGTACAAAATAAGGGAGGGATAGTGGATCCCAACTAAAAGCTAAAATAAAATACAATATTCTCCTAGGGTTTCCACTATCAACATCACAACTCCACTCAAAAAAATCAAAATATACTTGTAACCCCTCAAAATATATGCAAAAAGAAGAGTATACCAAAAATTAACATATAAACCAAAAGTTTTGGCAGCCATAGTGTGGGGGAACATGATCATAGCAAGGGGAACATGATCATAGCAAGGAGAACAATATTCACTGTGATCAGCAACAATCGCAACCCCAATCTGGTAATAGTGTAGAGAAATCCTGCCACGTCAACTTGAGGCTGCAATAGACGGAGCTTATCAAACCAATTAGAGCAGTAATAAGTAAAAAGGCGAGGGATATAGGAGTCATTAAGAGTCCTTTGACAACAGAAAAAATACTTCCATAATCTATAGCAATCGTATAGAGTAGATATAATCTGCATCCAGATACGAAAGGTCCAATGCAAATGAAGCAAAGAGTAATCAGTAGGAAGAAGGTTTTGGGCCCAACTAGCAAAATGCATTCTATTAGCTTCATCACTGATATCCCGATCCACAAATAAGTCCCAATTAGCTAATTCCAAATACAATACTATGCCCAACAACGAAATTCTGTGCCAAAGCATCTTCCAGCAAATAAGCAGATCACTAATAGAAAATGAGTAGGTTCGTTCCAAACCAATTTCCTTTCTAACTGTATTCAGCAATAAAAGATGCACCCAAGGAGCCATACCAATAATGAATAATTTCAGAGAAATGGTAGCCAAGAGTAGAACTAGTAGCCCTAGAGAAGTAATGATTCAAAGTACAAGAATTGTAATAGACCCAAGCAAATCCATTCACCAAGTAATAATAACTAACCAACTAGAGCTCAGCCAGCATAGACTGTCCAAGCCAACAAATAAAGCCATCAAACTTCCCTATATCAAAGCAACAAGTTCTTCCATGATGAGCCCAAAACCGAGGACCCAACACCCAAAACATAGAAAGTAAATATAAGAAGACTTCCTGTTTAAAACCCCAAAATATCTGACCAAATAAAAGCTCGAGCCACATCTTCAAAACTTCAAAAAGTGCAAAAAATGGCAATCCAAAAAAAACCAAAACTAGACCCTTATTATGCAAGAAGAATCCCAAATAAGGGGGCAACACCTTAAAAACGAACATAGGGGGCTTCCAAATCATTTTTAATAAGTTTATGCAACGATGTGGGAGGGGTATCTCCGATACTAACATTTTGTACCCTCCATTTGGCCAACCAATCCGCAGATTGATTCCCTTCTCTATAGGTAAAAGAATATAAAATATTAAGGTGGTGCCTTTCAATAGTATACCAAATTATTTTCAGCAAAGCTAAGATATACCAAAGTGGTTTAATCTTAGCCACAATAATGTTAAACAGGATTTCAGAATCAATTTCCACCACAATGCCATTTAAGTTTAAAGAGATAACAGTATGAAGAGCAGCAAGCACAACAGAGGTCTTTGCCTCAAGTGAGGAGTTAGCAATACAAGGTGAAGCAAAGGAAGCAATACACCTACCAGAAACATACTGATAAGCCCTCCCATACCCGTATAGGCTTTGGAAAAACTCCCATCAACATTAACCTTAAATCAATCATGGGGGGTGGTGCCCATTTAATCAAAATGGGTTTCCTACCTTTGGCCACAATAGGAGAGGCATCCTGTCCAAAGGAGGACTACAAAGCCTTTTTAAAATAAGCAACCACTAAAATGGAAGTGGTAGAGGGGGTGTGACCAGTAGCTTCATATTTATGACTGTTCCTTGCCATCAGATAAACCATAAGAAAATAACAGAAAAGCAGAAGTGCTTTTCAAAGAGGGTTTAAAGCACTTCCAAATCTCTATAGCTATTTTGACAGTCAGATTAGCGGGCCAATGGATACCAAAATAACACCCAGTACGATGCCAAACCTCTTTAGCAAAAGAACACTAAAAAAACAAATGATTAAAAAATTCAACACCTTTTTTACAATTATAACAGTAAGAGACAAGTTTCAGCCTTTTCAACTTAAGTATATCATCAAGAGGGAGCAACTTATGAAAGTATCTCCAAAGGAAAAAAGAAATAGATGGAGAGGAAAAAAAGGAAAAAAGAAATAGATGGAGAAATAAGTTTATGCCAAATAAAAACATGCCATTTCCATGGAGTAAAGGAGTGCAGGTTTAAGTAAAGCCATTTTGTGACAGATGTACTAGCATGATTCTTCCAAATTGGAACAACCTTATCTTGAGGTTTAACAGGAATTTTAGCTATAACAGGAGCAATTTCACCAACTAAGGAATTCAACATATCAAGATTCCAATCACCATTAATCCAACAATCCGTGACCAACAAATTTATATCATAATCTTGAGTTGGCACATTAGAAAATGTAGAGAGGCCCCAATCATCCTTCCAAAAGGAAATACTACCATCACCAATGTCCCAAAACATAAAATGAGATGCTACATCACGTGCATCAATGATGGCTTTCCAAAGCCTAGAATCCCCCACTCTCCAATTAACAGTGGAAGGGTGAAAAAATTTTAACAATATTTATGTTGCATAAATTTAGCCCATAGTGA